AGCGATCGTTTCGCTAGATAAGACCCTTATTCATCGCCTGATGTCGTTTAAAGCCCTTTGAAGCTGCACTGAAACTCTCATTTGGACCTTGAACCGTTTGGTTCCCATTGAAGTCCATTATATGGAGAAAATCCTGGAATGTTTTCATCAAAAACCTTAATTTCTTTTTGACTGAAGAAAGAAAGAGGTGGACATCTTGGATGACATGGAGTAAATTATTAGCAAAAGTTTTTTTTTTTTTTTTTTAAGTGAACTACTCCTTTAAACTTCATTAATAATATCTTAATTACACAATATTTTATCCAATATATAACTCGATATAGGACTTTTTCAGTTTGAATCACTTGAACATACATACACTGTAAAAATATATTTTGAATTGGTAAACAAAGATTGGAGTTGTTGTTTCAAGAAAACGCCATTTCAGGCTTTCTACTTACAAAGAAAGTAGAAAGAAGTAACACATTGGATTAAATATGATTGATTTTTTTTTAATTATTTGTGAAATTTACAAGCAATTTCTGAGTGAAAATTGAATGTATGTTTTTGACCTAAACCAACATTTTCCACGTTTGATGTCATTTGCAACATGTAATAACTAAGAGAAATTTTTAATTACTAAAATAGTAATCACCAAAATTCTATTTTGCTGTAGATCATTAAAATATTACACTGCCTCATAAATCTTCCAAAATAAGTTTTGTGCGCAAACGCTGCCTGCAAATTCATAGCCTGATGGGTCAACAAGTCAGCTGCCTATGGGTACGTTTACACAACGATATGCTTAAAGAGTAACTAAACCCTAAACCAACTTTTTTTAGTTAATGATCTGTAAGAATGGATCTTTATTAATACTAGTCATTGATTCAAGTACCTTTTTTGACATTTGTGTATAAAGTGTTTTATTTCTACAATATATGGTGTAAAAACATATTAGTGCTGCCCTCTTCAGGTTGGCTATTGAATTTCCCTATTGGATGTTCCGCACTTTGTGACGTACGCAGGTTTCAGCTCACCACGCTCTAGGTACGAGCTACGCTCTTTGGCAATATAAAAACCAGCTTGTTTCGTCAAAACCAGTCAGGAGTTGGAATAGCGAATATTGAAAACGATCAGGATAGAGTGTTTTAGCATCTATTTCGTCCCCTCTATCTCCGCTGCGGTCTGCCCACTTTTTTAGCATTTTTCAAATATTGCCATTGGGTGGAGTCAGGCTCTGACCAGGGGTTTAGTTTACCCTTTAAAACTGAGACGTTTTTTCTTTTGAGTTTTCCACATACAGACGACTCCATTGTAAAAACGATCCCCATTCAAACAGCTCCGTGAAAACGACTAAAAATACTCTATTCTGCTGTCAGAATGACTATAGATTGAACATGTAACACGCATGTGAATGACATAGTTTTCAGAGATTTGCGTTTACACGATTTCAAAAACTTGCACTTTCAAAACTTTGCGTTTTCAGCCACCCAAAAACGCCATTGTTGTGTAAATGAACAGCCAAAACGCATACAAAGTTAAGCGCCGTTTACACGTCAGCGTTTTCAACTAAAAAACGTAAAACTTTTTATACACTTTGGATGTTCGTTTACACGACAATGGCATTTTGAGTGCTTGAAAACGCAAACTTTTGAAAACGGTCTCCGTGTGAACATCAAAAACACGAATCTCTGAAAACGCATCTTGCACATGCGTATTACGTCTTCAATCTATAGTGTTTTATCGCCATCTAATGGCCTGGCAGCAGAATACAGAGTTTTTAGTGGTTTTCGCGGATCCGTGTGAATGGAGATCGTTTTACATGAAAAACTCAAAGGAAATACCTCAGTTTTAAAGTTTTTAGTTGAAAACGGGTTCTCTAGTTTTTATTTGAAAACGGTGTTGTGTAAACAGCCCCTAAGTTTTCGGATACAGCCGCTGATTCATTCAGGAACAAAACGCCTCTAGCGGCTGAGCGTTGCTGAAAGACCTGCGTTGTTTGAAACTGCCTGTGTCAGTTAACAAAACACAACTGAATGTTTCAGACATTAGGCTTTCCCATTGAAAGTCTGAGTGGAGACTCAATCTTTATTGCTTTTATCTTGGTTGACAAATACATGACATGATCCTTCACTCTTCAGTCAGCCTAAATCTCAGAGCACAGCGAAGGACATCTGGTCTAAACCCCTTTGTAAAATGAACAGGCTTCAAGACCCAAAGCATCTTGGGATCCGAGAGCTCATCTGTGAGGTGAGGTTTTACTCTTAAGCCACTGGCTCCTCTTCGCACAGACACCAAGGCCATTATAATTCACTCCATCATCACAAAGACCTTCAGCGGAAATCTCTTGTAAAGATGACTGCTGGCACTGCCATTCAGGATGAGGATTTTAAAATGTCAGCCAATATCAGAGATTTGCCTCATTAAAGAAGGTGAGGGGAACTTCTCCCAGAGACCATCATGAGAGGGAAGAGAAAAATAGTGTATGGTGGTCTGTCTATTATTTCATATTGCTAAAAACACAAAATACTATAAACTTTTTTAAGGGCAAGTAGGGTACAAATTTGAACTAACTTTCAACTCCATATTAAACCCTACAGATTAAGAATGGTACGTCATTAAAGTTCATGTGCAAGCAAAGGTAGACGTACACAAGTTATGAAAATAACGATAGAATAATGAGACTGTCTCATTCTCAACTGACCGCAGATAATCGGTACGACGAGTTTTAAGGCACTGAGAAATGACAGAAGTGACAACACACGCTCTTATTTCAAAATAAAAGTCTCGTTTTGTTGTTGTTGATTTTGTTTCTTTGACTGCACACTCCGCGACTGTCTTGAGAAACCACTATGCTGCTAGGACACATTTCTTCACTACATGGGTCACTTTTTCAAAACTTTTCAAACTATGGTTCTCATGACCAACTTTCAGATTGGCACAGCAGTTCCACAAAAAAAAAAAAAATCCACTTAAACTTAGAGCTGTCAAACGATTAATCGCGTCCAAAATAAAAGTTTGTGTTTACATAATATATGTGGGCGCACTGTGTCTAATTATTTTCTATATATAAATACACACATGCTTGTATATATTTAAGAAATATTTTCATGTATATACTGTATATAGATTTAAATAAATATAAATATTTTACATTTAAATAATATTTTTTCTTAAATATACATACACCCACATATATATATATATATATACAATATAATTATTATATATTACACACACATTAATAATTATAACAGCCATATATTATGTAAACACACCGATTAATAGACAGGCCGTTTCACCAAACACTACAGATTAAGCCAGGGTTAGGCCTTAGTTCAGTCAAGGGCATTTAAGTAGCTTTTATAAACACGCCTTAGAAAAAATATAACGTTATATTACTGATGTGCATCTTGAGACAAAACAATGTCACTGACATGTTTTAAGATACGTCAGTGCAAGTTGGTTTCAGTTATAACAGCTCACACATGCATTTTAGTCTGTGAAACTGGGGGTACGTGTCTCAAATCAAGTCATACTACCATAATATTAGCAAAAGCTTTCACACAACAACACACTTTGTCACTCATGGTTTTGTCTGTAGTTTCTAGCCTTAAAACAAACATTATAATTGGTTATCATCATGTAATATGTAACCTATTATGCCCCTCTTGTGATGTTCATGTTCATGCCTTGCAACATATATAAAAAGCCAAACACTCTAAATCAAAGGACATTTTCTCACACGGGGTCATCAATCATAATTATAATCAGAGTGTATTACCTCACCTCTGCTTGATGGACGTCTGATTAAATGTCCCCTGGCTGTGGTGAATAATTGAATTCTGGGAAGTCTGACTGGTGAGATCACACTAATAGTGATACAGGGTTGATCTTTCGGCTTCTCTTTGAGCTCACCGGGTATTTTACTGCACTGTGGAATATCAGCTGTAATTGGATAGGGGGAAAAAACACCAATTAATGGGAAAATAACATATGACACCTAAAATGAATTTTTGATCAAAGGATAGCAGCAAGTCGTATGAAAGCATGTTTATAGAGGTTACAGAGAGCTCAGTGCTTCAGTTATGAGCACAGTTCAGTTCACTGCTGTTCTCAGATCAGCCCTGCAGGTGTCAGTGTTTTCACTGGCCAACGTTAATGTAGCTCTGCAGCAAAGATCGTCTGCAGGTAACAAAAGGGAATCTGAACAACAAGCATTGTTTATCACTGACCTTACGACCTAAATTGAAATGTTCATCAGTGCCTGTAACAATAACTGAACATATTAATGACTCACATTAATAACTAATAACAAAATACAACTGTATATCCAACTTTAACCAAACAAATACAGGACATTCACGTTAAAGTCGGTATAAAACAAAGTTGATAGTCTTCCTTACCTTACTGTGACTTGTGTATCCGAGTAAAATGGCTTCTTGAAAGAGGAAAAAATGCAGGGCGGACTTGATTTGATGGTTGTGGTTTGCTTTAAAAAAATCGTCTTTTGTTAGTGTATTTTAATTTGGTAATAAGGCAATTCTATCGTTGGAACAATTCTAAAAGGAAACTTTTCAATCCTTAGCCATTTAAGTTTTCAGTATTAACATGAAAGCGTTTACATACTTTGTGGGCAATAAATTAGCATGATTTTTGTTCATGACTAATTGTTGCTAAATGATGACTATAGTATGACTAATTAATATAATTAATATAGGCTATCATAAAAAAAACAACATTTTGAATAAAAAGCTGGGGTTTTATTTTTTTCAAAGACATAAGAAATGCTTATCGCTTTTTCTGCTTGTGTTTTAATATGAATTGTAGTGAAATAGCGCCCCCTATAACAGTAAAAACACATCAGAAAATTCTATCAATGGCAGGAAAGATTTTTTTAAAAAGTCTATAGATATCAATAGATATAGGGAGAAGACTCGTTTTTCATTTTTTTTCATGCAAAATTTTGGGCAAATGTAGGCTATAACATGCAGTGATCCAATTACCACATTACAAAGTGCCGCTGTGTTCACTTCTTTAATATTGAAGATAAAACCATAAAATTGAATCACAGAATGAATTTTACATTTTCAAAAATATGGTTATTCTTATATTCCTGCGACCACATAATTTGTCTAGTCTAGACATGTTTTGACTTCTGCATATCTAAATCATACAAAAAGAAAGAAAGAAACACAATATACAGATATGCTGTACACTAATGAAGTTCAACACACTATTTCAAAGCTTCCGGAAATACAAACAGAACAGCAGAGGCCTGGAAACCAGAAAGCGAGCGAAATGACCCTCAGTGGATAGCAGTTGGTCATGTTGTGTTTTTTGTGGATTCTCAGCAGAGGCCTGTTATCTCAGTCAGCACACAGTAGATCTGTTCAATGACTTGCAGCCCAATTGCATCAAAGACGACACAGGGTTTGACCGCCGCCTGGTCAGTGTTGATTCCAGCGGGATGATGAAATATTCTAGCAATGTTTTTTTTGTCAGAATAACAAAGACATGCTTCATCCACAGGGGATTAACCTATCAAAGTACAGGAAGTTAATATTCATGGGCGCTCTGTGTTCTCTGAAAGAATGATACAACTGCTGTTTTTCACAAGCCGAATTACAATTCCAGGGTAAAGTGAATATTACAGAAGCACATGAATAAATTTGGCGGCTCTGGTTTATACGAACACTTGTATGTTGTTGGGATAAGTATACTTATAATGTCAAATAAAGAGGTTTTTTTTAGTTAAAGCGCCTTCAAACTAAGAATGTATTTTTTTAATTTAAGCACTGAATCAATGTAAGATCAACAGTGCAAGCATCCACTTCTTTTTTTTATGTCTCAGTCCAAAAAAAAAAAAAAAAAACACTTTGTATGCGAGGAAGAAATTTTCTCCTTATACAATTGCTCCTACTGCTGGCTAAACCTGGAAGCTGCATGCGACACACACTATAATGATCATATAAAAAAGAAAATTGCAGTGAAAACAGCAACTGAACATAATTATATATTTGCAATATTATGCGGGTGAAATTATTGATACTATAAGCCAAATCGGGCCGGTGTCCGTTTTGGCGTCATAGGCGCTTCTTCTTTTCTTCCTGGGGTGCAGATCTTGATTGACCTGATTGAAAATGATGAAAAGACATTTGTTTTATTACAAGATGTTGATTTAAATTGAAAGATTGTCTATATGCCATGCATCAGAAGTTGTGTGATTTGCTCTAAGGTTAAATGAAAAAGAAAGGAGTGTGTGTCTGTGGGGACCTGCGGGACACGGGTCTGATGTGGCTGACAGGGCGATGTATCATCTTTAATTACAGCAGTGCACAGCTCTCCTCCTCACACACATCCATCAGGCCGTGACCCTCCAGCTCCACACACTCACACCTCCATCAGTTCACTTACTGAAGCTCCCGCTCAACTTTTAGCCATTTTAGACCTCTATTTAATCAAACATTACAATTAACTCAATGTTTTAAATCCTCTGATGAAAATATGAATATGTTGAAAATATGTTGAATTTAGACATCATTATTGTCTTTATAATTATTTTTTAAGACATCATTAATATTGCATGAATCCCTCCTTAAAATCTTAGCAGCACACTGAATCTGAATTTTTTCATTCAAGTTTTTTCATGTTCATCATTGAATTGCTCTGATTTGTCAAAACACCTCACAAACTGCAACGAAAAGCACCGAATTTTATTATAACGGATGAAAATTTCAGAGGCAGTGTGTAAACGTGATTGACGCAACATGAGGTTGTATCGATTTTTTTTTCACTTGCGAAAATTTCAGTCGACAATTTCAGACTCATTGTGCAAGGGCCTTAAAAGGATAGTTTACGTTGAAAAAAATTTTCGGTATGTTTTAGGGCATCCAATGTGTTGGTGTCTTTGTTTCCGCGGTAGTTTCAATTTTTATATTTTTAGGTCAAAGTGTTCATGTCTGTCAGTCATATAATGGAGGTCTATGGTCACCACCTCAAAGAGCATGCACAGAGAAGTCCAAATTAAACAGAAAACGAATAGTATTTATATCGTTTTTACCTCTGTAACCACAGCCACGCCCAAGTAATCTGAGGGCGCGGGTGCTTTGTGGCTGTGGTAACGAGGTAAAAACGAAATACTGATTTCGTGTCTTGGGCCATCAATGTGTACTTACATTTATGAGTCATTAAATCATATTTAATTTGGACTTCTCTGTGCACCTCTTTGAGGTGGTGACCATAGACCTTCATTATATGACTGACAGACAAGGACGGTTTGACCTAAAAATATCAAAATTGAAAATACTGTCGAAAAAAGACACCTACATCTTGGATGCCCTTGAGCTAAGCTAAAACATACCAAAAATGTATTTCAAGGTGAACTATCCCTTTAAGTCTGAGATTTGAGTTTGAATGAATTATACTTGATACACAGATTTCTAAGGCCACTAAATAAAAAAATCCTTTGTACACAATCTACTACATGCCTTGTGTCATCTGATTGATAGTTTTTAGCTAGTCTTTTTTAGCTAGTAACAGGCTTTCAGTATCATTCTGAAAAATGTCCCCTTCAGCTCGTGGTTTACGTGTCTTTTTGCTGTGAAATCTTTCATTATTTTTATAGTAATATTTCAAGATGAACACTTACTAAGCAACTTATGCTTACCTGATTATCCATACATCACTTTTTAGTAAAAGCGTGTTAAAATTAGGGCTGTCAAACAATTAATCGCATTCCAAAATGAAACTTTGTGTTTACATAATATATGTGGGGGCACTGTGTATAATTATTTTGTATATATATAAATACACACACATGCTTGTATATTTAAGAAAAAAATATTATTTATATATAAATGATTTGATATTTATACAATATAAATTATATATAAATCTATATACAGTATATAAATGAAAATATTTCTTAAATATATACAAGCATGTGTGTGTATTTATATATAGAGGATAATTATACACAGTGCACCCACATACTGTATATTATGTAAACACAAACTTTTTTTATGGGTGCGATTAATCGAGATTAATCGTTTGACAGCCCTAGTTAAAATGTGAGTATCAAATATGATTCATCAGGCTTTTGAAGAATGTTTAAATGTGTCTCTCACTCTCACAATCAGCATTGTATTGCATTGCATTATATATATTTTTTTTTTTATTACATGCTTGTTATGCTGCAAACTAGTATTTCATACCATATTATTTTAATGTATTGTCTTAATCATAAACACACTAGTTTGCAATGCATATGTTACTGAATTTGTTAAGTGTTTAATAAATTATTAGTAAATGTTGAAATTAACATTAACAAAGATAAATAAATGCAGTAGTTCATTATTAGTTCATGCTAATTAATGTAGTTAACCAATGAACCTTATTGTAAAGTTAGCTTGTTTCCGCATTGAAAAGTATAGCACTGATTTTCAAAGCATTTTCTTTAGCAGAAATGTAAAATGTCCTCTAAGTGACCTGTGGGTCCTGCAGGACCAAGGTCAGGTGAGACGAGATGAGCCGTGATCTCATCTTAGATTCCTATCAGAACCCAAGAGGGAGGCCGGCACCTTAATTATCCATCTCCCCATCATGCAAATCAAAAGTCTAATCCCCACTTTTAATGTGATTATTGTCAGGACGTCCATCAAGAGGACAGTCAGCCGAAGGCTTTGATGCAGAGATAAAAAGTCCTGATTAATTAATGAAGTGTTATTTTACAGGACACATTTCCCGCTTTTGTGGAGCTGACAGGTGTGTGTGTAAAATTAATTTCCCGGATTAGTCGGAAAAATTAACGTCTGTCTCTCTCTTCCCCGTCCGAGGCGGCACAATTTAAATTGCTACAGTAATGGGGGTCAGGCAGGAGTCAATATTATTTCTTTTTGTCTCCTGTGGAGACGGGAGGTGAGAAAAGCTCATCATGGAGAAGACAAGGAGACGCTAGGTGAGGAAAGAGATGAGGAGGGTGTGAGGGGGATAATCGCCTTCCCAAAAAATTGCGACATTAGTGTTTCAGCACGGCAGCCGTTTGATGGCTTCCTTCTAAATAGGATGATTCAGATTTCATGCGTGCGAGCAGGAAGTGACTCTAAACCCTGAGTGACAGCGGTATTGGTGATTGCTAAAGTACCTGACACTGCCCAGGTTGTTCTTCCTGTCCTGCTCCTCTTTCCGTGCCAGGATCTGTTGTTGTGCAAGGGACATCTCCTCCTCCATGATGGTGAGCTCCTCCTTGGCTCTCCTTCGGTTCTCCTGGAAGAGGGACCAGAAGTGAGCGAATATGTACTGTAAGTGTTGACTCTGTGATACTGAGGAAGGATGTTTCTCACCTGTCTGCTCTTGTTTGCATGTTTGATACTGTAGAACATGGGCCCAAGCTCAGCCAGCCACTCGCCGTCCACTGCCGTCACACACTGCATGTACTCCTGAAACACAAACACATATGCGTGTCATCAAATAACTCTATATAAGAAGGCAGTGCTGTACTGGCACGAGTCTGTGAACCTCATTGGTCAAACACGACTTGTGCGCACAGCTTCAGACAGCGGTTGAACAGGCAAAAACACACACTATTATGCCAAAATGCTTGTTTTGTCGAGTATCCTCGCAAGTTAGGTCTTAAATGAAGCCTTAAATGGGCTCTTTAATCTTTAAATCAGTTTTCTCAAAATGACTTTTCTCTCATACGCCAAGTCCGAAATGTCCACTTCAGTAGCACCTATATACACCAAACTTTCCAGTCTTGTACCTAGTTATATTATCAAGACATTTACAGAGGGATTTGTAAATATATTATTCCTAATCTGATTTATATAAATGGCGAAAATAATTTAAGGCAATTAGCAGTATATTATTTATATACCGATTTACTGGATAACAAAAGTAGATATCCATAAATCCCTCTGTATTTTTTTTTTCTCATCTGATATGTGAACACAATGAAAAAAAGAATTTTGAACCTGGCTTTATCCAATACTCAGATTTCGTTTTTTTAAAATACATGCAAATTAGTGCATATTTAACTAGATAATGCCTCATTTGCATATTTAAACATTAAATTACAGCAAACTTTTAATATTTTTTTTTTCTCATCTTAATGTAGGTAATCAACTGGGAAAGTTTCATGGTGTAATCTGCTTGTTAAAAAAAATTTCCCTATTCACCTGTAGTGTCTCTCGCCTTAAGAGATTAAATGCAAAATTATTACAGTACAAAAATCATAATAAAAACAATAATGTTATTTTTTAATGACGAATAATTAGTTGTTTTTTTTATCGTTTGACAACACTACTTACACTACAGCAATTGAAAGAGCTCAACACAACAAATGTTTCAAAAGGTTTCCTCTAATTCAACTAAAAATGCAACTTTTAGTGACTTCTGCTGTTTTTATTAAATATAATAATATAATTAATATTACATATATACATAATATTTTAGTATAATTGTACTGAAAAAGGGACACCTTAAAATATAGTGTAATCATGAATGCAAATAGTTTATAAACACATCAGTGAAAAAAAAAACAGGAAATAATCAAAGGAAAATAAAGGAACCGGATGAGGAAATGTTGCAAGATAAATTCAAATTGGCATCACCCATACAAGCGTCTCATACTAACTTAAGTCAATTCACATTGAGGGGCTGAGGAGGAAGAAATACCTTTGTGGTCATGACCAGTTCATGGTAGATGATGTAGTCAGGGGTGTAACCCATCCCGAACAGAGCGCTGGTAGGGTGCAGATGGCAGGGCATCCCAGTTCTCACATTCACATACTCCCCTATTCCCTAAACACACAAATACAAGACATGAAGACACTTCAGGTGTGACTTGATGAAATTGAATAAGCCAAAAATGTTAAGTAGCTGTGAACCTTTAATTTTGCAGCCTGGTGAAAGTACGCAGCACAGATGCACTTCCTGATCACGTCCCAGTCGGAGCCGCTGGAGATCAGGTTCATTTTCTGCTGCACCATGATGTCTTTGAGCTGAGATCGAACCTCACGCACCTGTGATGCACACACACACATTCTGTTATTTATTGTAATAAATTGTAATAAATATTTATTGTAATAAAAACGCTACTAAAATAAAAAGCATGCTTAATTTTGCACTTAAACTTGCAAAGCAAATATACAGTTAAACCTGTTAGATGGACATACATATTTAAAAAGGCATTCAATAACATCTGTGAATATTCTTCCGAAGGATCTCAACATTAGAAAAGTTCCTTATTTCAGTCTGATCTTACGATTGGCATTTCAAAAAATGTGATTGTGGTAAAATAAAAATTGTGTACACACATACACACACACACACACATACTATATATATATTTTTTTTTTTTTCTCTTAAGTGTTATAAATTCATATATATTATCAATTTAAATCTTTATATTTTTTTAAATGAAAATGCACAGGGAATAAATGTGGCAAAATCTGGCACATATTGCATTAATCATATTTATTATAATGTGGATGGATGAATGGATGGATGGATGGGACAGGGGCAACTTATATTGCAACTACTTTCCTATGCAAAGAGAATATTTACATAGGAGTCTTAAAGATACAGCAGTAAAGAGCACATAAGATGTAATGGTCAAAGACTTTTACAAAAGTCAAAATGGATTTCCATGAAAAATGGTCTGTGTACTTCAGGAGAAATTTAAAATAACATGTCATGGAATGATATTGCCAATTTAATTCATGAATCTGATTGGTTGAGAGTGACGCCTCAGCTTGACTCACCTTACGCATGGCTTTGGTGTGGATGAAGTGATCGTTACACCAGATGCTGGAGTAGTTGTTGTTCTTCCACTGCAGGTAAACATTGAGGTAGGTCAGGTGATCACTCTCAGGCACTGAAAACTTCTCTCGCACCTGGTCACTCTCCTCCTCTCGACCCTAGACAAGTAACGGCAGTTTGAGCACTTTGAAAACAGAACCCGCATGTACGGCACATTTGATAGTAAATAGAGCCTAGTCACGTACCTTTGGTCTGTAGAAGATGGATGGCACTGACAACATGGAGACGATGATAAGAATGTCAGCGCTACAGGCCATGTCACATGACACGATCAGCATTTTGGACAGAGCCGGATCCAGAGGAAACTCCACCATGAGCCGCCCGGTGGGCGTCAGAGCGCCTGAGACAGAGACGAGAAGAAAGCATCCTCAAATACAGGCAAAAGTCAAAAGGGATTAGAAAGCACCTCTTTCCAAAGTGCTGATGGTGGGAAAATGACACCACTTGGAGATTCTGATCAAACTTTTCCGAAGCTCAGATTTCAAAGATTACATGACAGACTAAGAAGATTAGTGAGAGAGCGCCGTGAAAAGCAGAGAAGATATTTGGGCAGGTAAGCCTTAATCAGAAATAATCTGCTGTTAACACGAGACGAGAGCTAGAGGGAAAAGCGCTCCACATAGTCAAATCCCCACAAACCCCTGAGAGATACGCAGGAAATGAGATTGAGATCCCTCTCTGGTCACATAGACAGTTTTACTTCAGTTGCTACAGCTGAACTTTGAGTAAGACCTTAATACTTCACTGCAGCACTTCACAAGCTTAAGTCTACTCGACTAGAACGCTAGTTACACTCGAGAGATTTTTCCCAAATAAAAATAATGTCACTACCATCCGTTATCTTTAAACGTCGATATATACAAAACACTGGTGAGTGAATATATACTCAGCTAAAAAGAAGACAAGTGCCTTTTTCAGGATACTGTACAGTATGTTAAAGATAATTTTGTAAAATACAAATAAGCTTTACAGATCTTTCTTGGAAAGGGTTTGAAGAATGTTTTTCATGCTTTTTCAAATAACCATTAACACTCAATTTACAAACCTGTGGAACAGTCCTTAAAGGAGTAGTTCACTTTTAAAAAAAACTTTTGCTGATAATTTACTCACCCCCATGTCATCCAAGATGTCTTTCTTTCTTCAGTCGAAAAGAAATTAAAGGTTTTTGATTAAAACATTCCAGGATTTTCTCCATATAATGGACTTCATTGGGCACTAAACGGTTCAAGGTCCAGTACAAGATATTTTTTGAGTCATTTGGTCCATTCAACGAACGAAATGACTCGAAAAAAAGATTCGTTCATTTTGATGAACAAGTTCGAATAGGAGAGTCATGAACGCGCATCACAGAACAGAGCAAGGCGAGCATTTGTGCTTATAAAACTTAAACTTTTTTATTTATTTTTGAAATGGCCGATCGTTTCGCTTGATAAGACCCTTATCCATCGTCTGGTGTCGTTTAAAGCCCTTCGAAGCTGCAATGAAACTCTCATTAGGACCTTAAACTGTTTGGTACCCATATGTAGAAAAATCGTGGAATGTTTTCATCAAAAACCTAAATTTCTTTTCGACTGAAGAAAGAAAGATGTAGACATCTTGGATGACATGGGGGTGAGTAAATTATCAGCAAAAGTTTTTTTTAAAGTGAACTAATCTTTTAACAGTTTACTCTTTTTCATACTGTTACAGCAGAATACAAAAGAAAAAAGAAAATAATCAGAAGGAAAAAAAAAAAATCAGCGGCTGAAAAGAGCTCTTGCCTAGATATTCTTATACCACGTCACATTAAAATACCAAGTGTAACGTTATTCTCTAGGAATTTTACAGCTCTTTCAGTCAAACTGACGGATAAGGATTATTTGTAGCGCAACCTTATGATTAGAAATTGTTTCAGTCTATTTGATTCGAACTTCAACAAAACTGAAAGTGCCTCCCATAAAAATAAAAAAAGTGGATAAAGTGAAGTGATTTACAGCTCAGGAAAGTTCATTTCCTGGGGTGAGAGACTTTTTATTTTGTAACAAGTTACAAAAATAAGGTTAGAATAATGACGCGCATATAGCCTGACATCATCTAGCGTTTAGCTTTTTTAAATTGCAGTTGAAAACGTTTCTCTTCAGGAAGGCTTTCAACATGTAACCTGTAGTTGTTGTGTTAACTACTTTGTTTTAACTGCTCAAATTAGTTTTAACTTGCAACTTTTATGTACTGCTGTCTTTTTTGTGTGTTTTATGGAAAGCACCATAGTTGTAATGGCGCTATATAAATAAAAAATGAATAGAATTGAATAATCTAACAGCAGATACTGAGTCAGGTGAACAGGCACTCTTTACCTAAACTGCGTCACCTGTAACTGACAGAAGAGTCAACAGCTTTCATACACCTCTTTCAAAATAAAAGTCTTCAGAAATAAAATAAAAACATTTAGAATTACGTTTGTTGTTGTTGTTTCTTAGACTACACACTCCCTGACCCACTCAAAGCGACTTTGCGACCCACAAGTTGAGAAATGCTGCTTTAAACAACAATTTTTTTAAAAAGATTGCAATTGAACAAATTTATCACAAAAAAAAAAATTAAAATACAGTTTTATCTACACTGCTGGCTTATTTTCTATTATTATTAATTAGCTTCTCTATTTAAACAGTTGCTTTGATTCTGAAGCAAACATCCCCATCAAGCATTTTCCCGGTTTCCCGTTATAGACGTAGCCTTCCACAGCATAATGAAGACTTTTTGACTGGGAAAAATACTACATAATAAATGTACACTTCATCCTGACATTATTTGATCATTCTTGATACCATCTAATTAAAAAGTTCAACTCTAAACACCAGATTCACTCTCTATTGAATGTGATATAATGTGATAAAAAGTGGCAAAAGGAACAAAATCCTAAAAAGAAAGAGATTCGTGTGGTCATCAAGAGATTGGCGCAGTGGATGAGACACATGCCTTTGGTTTGAGAGACCAGGGTTCGAATCCACTGTGAGACACCAATGTGTCCCTGAGCAAGACACTTAACCCCTAGTTGCTCAAGAGGCGTGCGACCAGCGTCAGCTAAAATGAATAAATGTAAATGTAGTCCTATGCTGCCTCAGTGGTCTCACCTGTGTTGTCAAGAGCTCCCAAGATCCACAGCTGGTACATGGAGTTCAGCATGTTGTCTTCAGGTGGGGGATCCATGAAGTGGAATAGCAGAAGGTCTTGCACTCCCAGTGACTTGAGCAGCAGCACAACATTGGCCAGGTTAGTGCGCTGGATCTCTGGGATAGTGGTGGTGAGCATTTCATTCTTGTAGGCACTCTGAGTGTATAACCTGACGCAATGGAAAGAAAAATGCATTCATTTTCTGTAAACATTACAAAATGTCCCACCCCGACACAATGTGATACAGTGGCAAGCGAAAAATCCAGTGTATTCCTTGTTAAGGTGAGAGCTCTGCGTAATATTTGGATATGAAAAGGGATGGATCAGTTAGATTTCCAAAACCATAACTAGACACTCAGTTATCCTTGGTCAATCAAACTTAAACTTGCCAAGGGAACTTTTTTTTTAAGTTGAAGTATTACATTTCCTGAAACTGAAATAAAAACTAACTGAAGCAAAATAGAATTATTAAAAGATAATAACAATAAAATTGACAAAAAGATAAGAAAAAATACAAAAACTTACAATAAATTAAAATTACAGGTGAAATTTCAGCGAATTATACATATTACTGACACTATAATAGTATATAAATAATACTAAAATAAAACTGTGGTTAAAATATGCCTATAGACCATTTCACAAGATGTAAACAACACTGGTCCAGAAGCACTTCCTGTTTCAGTGTGTTACTGTTTTCTTTATTTCACATGTAAAGAAAACATCTTAAAGATGTTTGTTTAACTTTTGTTTAAAAACTGAAACAGGAAGTGCTTCTGGACCAGTGTTGTTTACATCTTGTGAAATGGTCTATATCAGACTGGAGTTACTATTTTCTAAATTATTCTCAGCATACGTCATTATGCAACAAGACTGCCGAGAGCGAGCTCAGGACCGTTTGCCGAGGCTGTAGATTACAGGTAATATACTGTTGTATATAATGTTCAGTTTCTTGCACAGACCGATCGTTTTCACTTCATAAGACATAATTGTATTATCAGGAGCCACGGGTATTGATTTTGTCTTGCCTGTATATGTTTTTTTGACTCTTAAAGTGACGGTAGCAATTGACTTGCATTATATGAATCACCAAGGACCGCGGTTTCAGCTAAAAATCTTCTTTGGGGTCTGTTAAAAACGCAATTATGTCAAAGCTTGCCTACTCTTCTGCTACACACTCAAAAGTATGTATATTTCACCATAAAAACAGACATACAGTAGGCGTCATTTGAGCTTGTCATTACCAGTTCCAATCACAGTGACACAATGCAAGACAATTTTACTGCTGTTGCGTTGATCTAAGTAGCTCCGCCCACAGTGAAATCTCATTGGTCCAAAAACCCACAAACCCCTGAGATATTCACATATTAAAATATGATTTGACTGGCAGTGATTTGCTTCACTGAACCAGTTTGATGAATTAAATGCTTCATTTTACAAGTCATGGATTAAAATAAAGAGAAAAAAATCTGTGTAAACATTCAAAGGTCCAAATAAAGACATATACATGACATATGCATGCATCACATCAATGAAAAAGTTTTCTACCTCCAACCTTTAGAAGAGCTAGAGGGAAGCTCTTAACAATGAGCCATTTCCAAGCTACCTCTGAGGATCTTAAAATATCACAGCTCTCCTTGCTGCTCCATAGAGACAGATCTGAGAAAACAGAGGATTTCTGCAGCTATTCAACAAATCGGTAATCCCTCAGAAGATGGCATGAAGGAACTCTGGGAAGCTCTGTAGTACAGCGTATGCATTTATGTATATCTGTCCTTCTGGCTCTTGAGCCGCAATCACAGCCAGAGCATTTGAGTAATGCATTCATCACACACACACATGGCTCTTGGCCACATTACAAAACGTCTGGCTGAACAGAATTGATTCTTGATGCACAGATGTTTGGTAAAGGACGCATGCAACTAATCCGACATGTGCCACACACTTTCACAAGCAACTAGAAACACTCACAGGGAGGCAAAACAATCCCTTGTGTGACAGTGAAACAGCGAGACAGTGTGTCATCAGATCTTTGCGGCTGTGCAGATTTGAAAAAGGTCAGAGTCAAAAAGCTCACAGGAGCCTTTGTATCAAATCCTCAGAGGTGTGAACAAAAAATAAACTATGTTAAATCATTTTAACATAACCCATCCCCCTCCTGCAGTCGATACACACTGTATATATATATATATATATATATATATATATATGATGTTTTTGGTCTTTTTTGATTTTTTGAGGGAGGAACTGCCTGATCTTACCTGTAACACTGTCCTGGGCCTGTTCTGCCGGCTCTGCCAGCCCGCTGGTTTGCATTGGCTTGACTGATGGGGTACACCTGCAGCGCATCCATGCCGATGCGAGGGTTGAACACCTAAACAACACAAAGTAATACTTCTGTTAGCATCAGATATGCAATTCCTCTATTAAAGACTGGTCATTCATAGCAGTTTCATTTACCTTCAGTTTGCAGTAACCAGAATCCACCACAAACATGATGCCGTCCACTGTCAGAGACGTCTCAGCGATGTTTGTAGCGACAATACACTTCCTCACTCCATCAGGAGCCTGACGGGTAAACACACAGGTTTAGTTCACAAACGTCTCATGATCAGGATCTCCCAGTGTTAACAGAGACAGATGTTTACCTTCTGGAAGATCTTGGCCTGCAGGTCTGAGGGCAGCTGGGAGTAGATGGGCAGCACTGCCAGAGCCGGAGCGTTCTCTAGATCCTCCAATCGCTCCACAATCTGATCTGATGTCACCTGCAGGAACACACACATCATCTGTGTTATACGATGCATCATTAGACAGCACAAACTTACCAAACGCTATATTTCGAACTAACCTCATACTTCGTATATTCCAAGAAATAATTGGAATAATTGCAATAATACCTCATTTAAATTCGAAATTAAAAAAAAAAAAAAAGTCAACCAATCACCAAGAAATGCTTAATTGTGTTCAGTCTGTGGTGTAAAAAGGTTGCACTGAAAATTATAGAAAAAAACACTTCAGCAAAACATGGTCAGGTCAAAGTGTCTGAATAATTTTTGGTCCCAAATATTTATACATTTTCCTGGTAGTCTACTGTATGAGGAATATTTTGGGTATAATATGTCAGTTTACTTTATTTTGCCATCCTATCTTACATAAATGAACTACAGTGTCATGCACCCACTAATAAAACGCTATGAAAAATTATAGCTGGTTTGACTGTATATGCGTGTGTGGGTGAATAACATTTATGTATTTTTGTCTTTTTTTAGTCTTTTTAACTTTCAAATCTATAATACTCACTGGCTGCAGTAATATAGTGAAATATTATAAAATAACTTTTCTATTTGAATATATTTTAAAACTTAATTTATTCCTATGACGTCATAGCTGAATTTTCAGCATCACTACTCCAGTCGGCAGTGTCATATGATCCTTCAGAAATCATTATAATATGCTGATTTGATGCTTAAGAAATAATATTATCAGTGTATTATCAATTTTCATATTTTTGTCGAAACCGTGATACACTACCGTTCAAAAGTTCAGGGCAAGTAATATATTAAAAGAAATGAATACTTTTTTTATTAAGGATGCATTAAACCTGTCACACTGTCCTGGGCCCATTCTGTCTGCTCTGCCACCCCGCTAGTTTTCATTGCCTTTACTGATGGGACGTATTCACATTGATAACAAAAAAATCAGCATCAGCATTTTAGAATTTCTGAAGGATCAGGCGATAAAATTATGCATTTTAAAATATATTCAAATAGAAAAAGAGTTATTTTGAAATCTTATATAATATATCCAATAAAAGCAGCCTTGGTGAGCCGAGACTTCTTTAAAGCTACACTGTGTAACTCTTTTAGTTTATTCTTAGCTAAAAACACTTAGTTCTTTCAAAAATATGTGTGCTCATTAATGTATATTTACTTCGTTCAAGTAATAAAGTATTCTCGTGAGTGTATAATATGCCATTGAAAATACATACAGGGAAGGGGTTCTAATGTCGGTTGCCATGTTGCCCCTCCATCTTGAAAGTACATTAGCCAAAGAGGGACATAGCCATTAATTCAAGCTTCGCCTTTCGCGTTTACGTTTGAGTTAACACTCATGGACGAGGTCGAACTGGAACCCATGTTAATCTTGGATTACATTGGCCACCGTAGGAGTTAAAACGAAATCGGAATTGAGAGGAACAGAAACTAATATTCACTGGATGGTCATATACCTTTTCACCACTAGATGGGGGTAAAAAAAAAATCACACAGTGTCGCTTTAAAAAATTTTTTTTTTAATGTTAGCGTTTATATAATATCAATAATTTATAAATTGTGATCCCATTCATAACATCTTCTGCACAACTAAAATCTCCTCACCTCAATGTCCTCCTGACCCGGCATGAAGATGAGGATGTCACCCCCCATCCCGCTGAGATGAATCTGTAAGGCCTGTTTCACGGACGCCTCCACATAGTCCTCTTGAGGAGTCTGAATCACACCAGCACTCAGCGTCAGTCTACAGAACACCAACCAGCTTTAACTAAAGACGCTATTAACACCTCACCTTGCTGAACAAGATATCCACTGGGAACGTTCTGCCGGGAATGTGGAAAATAGGAACATTGCCGAAGAATGCCGCAAATTTGTCAGAGTCCATGGTGGCAGATGTGACAATGAGCTTCAAGTCTGAGCGTCTAGACACCACCTAAATAATCCAAAATAGAGGAAGAAGAGAGAGTGCCTCATTAGTATCAACCTCTAAACTCAACAGTATTCTTTAAATCAAATTAGTGTACGAAAACCAATTATATTCACTAGGGTGCAATTAATAGTATGCAATACAATCGTCCTCGGTTCATGTGTAAGTGTGTGGAGACCCGGCTCACCTCTCGGAGCAGTCCGAAGAGCACGTCAGTGTTGAGGGAGCGCTCATGGGCCTCGTCCATGATGACAGCGCTGTAGTGGTCCAAGTCTGACTCCCGCAGAGATTCCCTCAGAAGAATCCCGTCCGTCATGTATTTTATTACGGTCTTCTCTGATGTACAGTCTTCAAAACGGATGGCATAACCAACCTGGTATATACATTAAAGCAAAAAAATCCCTTAGTCATGGTAAAAATACAATTATATAATTGTAAAGAATACATAGATAATGTGTGTGTGTGTGTATATATACACACATATATATATATATATATATATATATATATATTAGGGCTGTCAAATGATTAATCACGATTAATCGATTAGTAATAAAGTAATAATAATATATGTGGGTGCACTGTGTATAATTATTTTGTTATTTATTTAAATATACATGCTTGTATATTTAAGAAAAAAAAATATTTATATATAAAATATTTATATTTATACATAATATAAATTATATATAAATCTAGATACAGTATATATATATATATATGAAAATATTTCTTAAATATATACAAGCATGTGTGTGTATTTAAAATAATTATACACAGTGCACCCACATATAATATGTACACACAAACTTTTATTTTGGATGCGATTGTGATTTTTGCGATTTGGATGTGATTTTTATACATGCATATATACATATACATACATATATATATAAAATGATACCCTTGTGTCACGATTAAATATTATTGTGGTAATCCAAGACATATAGTAAAAGGTTTACAAAAAATGTACTGTTGGTTAAAATGCTAAATTTGATATCACATTGTGGGTTTAAATGAATAAGCTAGTAGGACTTGGTGCTTGTAAACCAAGGACAATGGTGACACCAGAATAAAAATATTCATGATTCTGAAGCTGAAAATCCAGAATAATTTAAGACGAATATGCTTGCACTATGTCAATGACTAGATATATTGAAAATAAATGTCAGGTAACATAAGACATTTGGACCCAAAAATATTCCCCCATTGCATTATTATACATTATATACATTGTATATAGTAGTTTAATGTAGTACTGACACTAAAACTCTGAAAACTTGAATTTTTTCTCACACAGTAATTTTTATTTTGGGGGAACTATCCATGATACATATTGTTGCATTTTTGTATAGCGATATATTGTGGCACAATATATTGTTACACCTATAGTAATAGTAATATATATGAAGAGTTCAGATGCAAAAGCCTCTAAATGCCATTTGAAATTTTCTTCTTTAATGATGATTTTTATCAAACTTGTATATTTAAGTTCAGTAATTTCACTTAAATGGCAATGATAATTACCTATTAATTGTTATTTAAGTGAAATTACTGAACTTAAATATACAAGTTTGATAAAAATCATCATTAAAGAAGAAAATTTCAAATGGCATTTAGAGGCTTTTGCATCTGAACTCTTCATATATATATATCTATCTAGATATATATACACATTACAAATATAGTTTTTCATTTTTATGTCAGTTATTTTAGTACTTAAACATAAATGAATGTTACCTTATTTAAAGGTTTTTCATATTTTATTTCAGTTTTTTTTTATTCAAGTAACTACTGACGAAGGCAAAAAGCCAAACATTTGTAAAATTCTTTATCCCCTGTTTGTAACTAATAAAGTATTCTTAGAGTGCAGACCATTCTGCATATAATTTTAATTTCAAGTAACGCTTTTTTTTAATGGTTTTAGTTTAGTTTTTGTTAACGACAATAACCCTGGTTATCATTATTCCATTGTATCACCCTCTTTTTAGGGCAAAATACTTAACATACAAGTCACCTTAAATCCACCAGGTGGCAGTATGTCCCTTAAAATCAAATATCTTCTGTCTCACACAAGATGTGGGGCACCAACCTCTTCTCCCAGGTTACTGTTCATTTCTTCGCTGACTCTCTTGGCCACGCTCATGGCTGCCACTCTGCGAGGCTGTGTGCAGCCCACCATGCCATAGCCGGTGTAACCGTCCTCATGAAGATACTGCGTCAGCTGAGTCGTCTTACCACTGCCCGTTTCCCCCACCACAATCACAATGTTGTTATCCCTGCCAGAGAAGATCCACAACACAAAGAAAACATCAGCATACCAGGTGGGCAGACACATTTAGTATTAGCTGATGTAAGAGAAATGATCTGAGTGTCACCCGGACCTGATGATGTTGAGCAGCTCCTGGCGAACAGCAAAGATGGGCAGATATTGTCTCTGCTCTAATAGAGTCTTCTTCTTAGAAAAATCACTGCTCGCTTCATTTCTCTCCTTCATGTGATCAGCAAACTTCTGCTCCGCTCTGAAAGATGGAAGAGAAGAAAGATGAAGAGGCCCTGAAACAATCTACAGACTGCAAAAATTCTGCATCAGCTGTGTATGTGTGTGCTTGGCCATCATCAAGTGGTATTTCAGACTGGACGTGCTGTGGTGATGATGATAGCTCAGTTCACAACGACAAAACACACAGATCACTTTGGTCTTGTCAATGGAATTGTCAATGGCACTGCATCCTGTTGCAAAAGCATGTGAAAAAAACTTTGCTAGGACAAAAAGATTGTTAATCGCACAAAAAAAAAAATTACGCCGTTAATAACGTGTTTAACTGACAGCTCTAATATATATATATTTATATATACATACACAAATTGTGAGACACAATACCTGTAATCCACATTTCCATCTTCTCCAACAGCTTTTCCATCTTTTTCCCCCTCCTCTGATTTCTTGATGCCCATGATGTCACCCAGTTTGGTGCCAGCGAGCTCCCAGTGTTTGTGTTGTGCCTGTCAAGTGGAAGAACCAAACACGACAACAATTACATCAACACTACTGTCCTGGAAGTGAGAGTGAAGTCAAAATGAAACAATAAAAACCAGACATGCACCTTCTTTCTCTCTTTCTGCTCTCGGTGTCGTCTGACCAGCTGACTTCCTTTGCGGGAGATGATGGCCATGTCTGAGGTTGCGTCTTTCACTGGAATGACCGGCTCTGGCTGCAATCGCAAAGATAAACGTACAATCATCAATTAAAGACTCACAAGATTCGTGACTCACCAATAAAGCACATCCATGCATAGAGACGTCTGTACCTGCTTAGTGAAGACAATCCTACCATCCAGGAAGGGTGGCACGAGGTTATGGACAAGTAGGTGGACTCTGGTCGCATTGTCCTCCTCAAAGTCCTCGTCCACCTCCAAGCGCTGAACCACTCCACTGGTGAGCATGCGGTTGGTTTCCCAGCGTTCGTTATCCTGAAGTGAAACACACACGTCAGCAAACAGTGGGGTGAACACCGGATGTGCATTCGGTCTTAAAGGAGTAGTTCACTTTTAAAAAAACTTTTGCTGATCATTTACTCACCAACATATCATCCAAGATGTCCATGTCTGTTTTACTTCAGTCGAAAAGAAATTAAGGTTTTGGATGAGAACATTCCAGGATTTTCTCCATATAATGGACTTCATTGGGAACCAAACGGTTCAAGGTCCAAATGAGAGTTTCAGTGCAGCTTCAAAGGGCTTTAAACGACACCAGACGATGATTAAGGGTCTTATCCAGCGAAAAGATCGCTCATTTCAAAAATAAATAACAAAGTTTAAGATTTATAAGCATAAATGCTCGCCTTGCTCTGTTCTGTTTGTGACTCTTCTGTTCGAAATCATTCATCAAAATGAACGAATCTTTTTTCGAGTCATTTGGTTCATTCAAGAAGAACCAAAAAAAAAGATTTGTTGATTTTGATGAACCAGCTCAAACAGAAAAGTCACGAAAGCACATCACAAAACAGAGCAAGGTGAGCATTTGTGCTTATTTAACTTAAACTTTGGTTCCCATTGAAGTGCATTATATGGAGAAAAATCCTGGAATGTTTTCATAAAAAACCTTAATTTCTTTTCGACTGAAGAAAGAAAGACGTGCACATCTTGGATGACATGGTGGTGAGTAAATTATCAGCAAAAGTTTTTTTTTAAAGTGAACTTTGTAATTTGCTGCTTTTTAAGAACAAAAAGAAAATAACAAAAGCTGACCATGTTCAGGGCTGAATTTATTTGGTCAAAAATACAGTAAAAACAGCAATATTGTGAAATATTATTGAATTTTTAAAATAACTGTTTTCTTAAAATTTTAGCATAATTTATTACTGTCACACAAACTCCACTCTTCAGTGTCACATGATCCTTCAGAAATCATTCTAATCTGAGGATTTGCTGCTCAGTTATTACTTTTGGCACTCTATTAATAATGATTCTAAGCTTTATCAATGTTGAAATTTTTGCTGCTTAATATTTTTGCGGAAACCGCAATACATGTTTTTTCAGGATTCTTTGTTGAATATAAAGTTCAAATGTATCATGTATTTGAAATAAAAAATGAGTAACATTAGAAACTGTCACTTGAATCAATTTAATGCATCCTTGATGAATAAAAGTTATTTTATTAAATATTTTAAATTGTAAAACCATTTCACAGTATTACTGTTTTTACTGTATTTTTCATCAAATAAATGCAACCTTGGTAATCATGACACTTCTTTCAAAGACATCTTAATTCTTCCAAACGTTTGACCCTCAGTGTGTGTTCACAGTTCCAGTACCTCATTGATTTGCCGCTTCTGCGCTGAGATGCGTTTCTGGGTCTGCTTCTGTAGGATCTGCTCCCTCTTCTTCACATATTCTTCTGAGGTGGACGTCAATGGGTTGTGAAACTCATCGTAACCCTCATCCATCATGTACCAGTCTCGATCTGCTTGCTGTTTTGACATGACAGTTAGTACTTGACAAAATACCAACTTGAACATGTAATAAAACCCGAAGCCCATTTTACTTTCTATGTTAAGATGGATTACTAAATGAAACAGGATATTGATAACACTTTGTTTTAGGTCAAGTCAAGCCAAATTTATCCTTCAAAGCAGCTTTACAGAAAATATCCATATTAACGTTTAGAATATCTTCATATTTTCATACCTTATTGTCACATTTATCATATAGTGATAATATATATTACAAGTAATCAAGCAGATGAGATATGCTATATTTTGCATATTGTATATTTCGCCCTGCATGAGTATGAGTATGCTTTATGTATGCAGATAGAGTTGAACACACATACATAAATAAATAAATAAATAAATATATATATATGTGTGTGTGTACACACACACATATATACACACAACTAATATAAAGAGCTATAGGTATTTGTAAACTATATATACATATATAGTAATGTAATGTGTGATAGTTTACAAATTGTGATGACATAGGCAGGGCTTTATTTAACATATATTACTTTCTGTTACTATACTGTATGTTTACAGATAAAGTAGTACATTCTATATATATATAACTTTTAATATATCGCTGGGCAATAATATATTTGACTTTTTTTATGATATAACAATTAAGATATTTGATGTATAGTGTAATTAAAAGCACTATATATATACTGTATATATATATATATATATATATATATATATATATATTCTAAAGTGGCCTTATTATACAAGTTACAAGTACTTTCTATAGTAATTACAGCAAATTATGTATAATTAAAAGCACCTAACCATATAGTAAATACATGTTTACATGATTAATATGATTAAAATGTAACTGAATATTTAATAAGAAAACTGAAACTGCCTTGATCATGAGTTGTTTGAATTATCATTATTAACCAGAATGGAGACAGAGTTTTGAATGTGACTTTGCTAAAACAATGGCTTAATAGATATTTGGCTACTGCTTATTATTTTACAATAAGCCATATGGCTTGCACATGACATCAGTGGAAATGGAAAATCAATTCAAGATGGATCTGGCTATTACACTTTGAGAACATTGAAATAACATGCGTCAATGAGTGACACACATTAAGACTAGGAATTGGCTGAGACTAGGACGCAACTGTATTAAGAATCTGAAGTATGTAAAAGGGGTAAATTCTGATTTCAAGCTGACTTTAAAGAGCACTCACCCTCTGATCTTCCTCCCACTGTTCCTTCTCATCTTCATCATTAAACAGGATGCCGTCCTCTCTATCCTCTCTTTTCTCTCCTACAAATCAAAAAACCATATAAATACAACACTATAGACGCTGTACATGCACTACTGTTCAAAGGTTTGGGGTCGGGTTTTTGAAAGAGGAGTCTGTGCACCCACGCTGCATTTATTGGATTAAAATATACTTAAAACAGTTTTGTGAAACAGAATTGTAAATATTGTGAAAAATTATTACAATTAAATTAAAACTGTTTCCAGTTTTAATATGTAATGTATTCCTGTGATCAAAGCTTAATTTTCAGCATCATTACTCCAGTCTACAGTGTCACATGACCCTTCAGAAATCGTTCTGATATGCTGATTTGATGCTCAAGAAACATTTATTATTATCAACATTAGTTGAAAATGTGCCGTTTGTGTGAAAAGTATTTTTTCCTTGATGACAAGGTTCAAAAGAACAGCATTTATTTCAAATGCAAATATTTTGTAACATGGAATGGAAATGTGTAAATTACTATAATATCTGATCAATTAAATGCATCCTTGCAGAATAAATTTATCAATTTCTTTCAAAAAAAAAATCCTACTGTCCACAAAAGTTTGCTTAATATGTGTTCTTGATAATATGGGAGATATTAGTAATACTCTGGGTAAAAATAATTAAAAAAAAGATTATAAAATATATGATAAAAATATGAATATATAATGTACATTAAACAAAGTTTAAAATGTTCAAATTTGAGGTAGCCCTCAAACTGTATTCCCTTTATAGCCCTTAATCCTGTAATTGTGGACAAATATGGGCACAGTGGACTCAGGAGTGATCCTAATTTTTATTTATTATAAGTGTTATATCACTGTCTTCGATAAAGTTTTGTCCATCCATTTATGGTGTTTTTTTTATTTTGGGAGTATTTTTGAATTTATTTACTTCAAAAAGTACCATATTTTCTATGTAAATTATGCTTATTTTTATGTTTTATTTATTTATTTATTTTAACTACATTAAAATATCATTCCAATAAGTTCTTAGAGCTAAAACCTAAAGATGAAGTGACTTTGCCGTCACCTATTTTGGCTTTTTTTTAGAATGCTCTAAATTACAGTTTTTCCCATTCATATCTATGGGTGCCCATTTTTGACCCAAATACAAGATTAAGGAGTTTTTTTTTCACCCACTTAACATTGTAGAATTGAGTCAAAAAAAAATGTGTGTGTTCAAGAGGCAAACTTAGGAAAAGTAGCCAAGTCTTGTACCGCTCAGATCAAGGGAAGTATTTTTTTAAAATAAATCAAAACCATTTTGTCCACATTTGTCCAAAATACGTTTTATTAGGGTTAAAAGTTGTACACAAAAAAAAAGTCACAAATTTGACCACATTCTCCACATAAAGAACAAGTAAGGTGTGTCTTTACCTTTTCCTCTGGACAGGCGTGGTGTGGAGCCAAGATGCTTCCTGTCATTGGCCCACTCGTTGTACTTATATGACGGGGTTGGTAGAGGAGTATCTGCCGAATATTGAGGTTTACTTGACCTGAACAACAAAAAAGACAAGGAAACATCTATTAATATTCCTTCTGACCAACACAAATAACCTTCAACCACACATTGATCACTGAGGCTTTGAGGAAGTGAGTTACACCTGTCTCTCCTCTCGCTGTCCCGGACTGAACGATGGCTGCGCTCGGAGCGGTCAGTCTCCCGGTGCGAGGGGGCAGGAGACGGGCTTTCCCAGTGTGAGTGACGTGAGCTGGAATATCCACTGTCATCTTCATCCCAGCTGGAGCGTGACGGAGTGACCAAGCCTGCGTGGACATATGAAACACACTTAACACTTGTTGGTCCTGAAACAGCATTCAACCAATACGATTTTTATTTTTTTTTATTTTTTTTATTTATAGCTATGATTTAGGGTGAAAAAAAAAACTACAATTGCGATTTTTCGGATAAAACTGTGATAGTGATTTGAAATGTAATAAAAAAGGTGTTAGGTATAAGGTATGCAGTATTGTTCAAACTGATCAGGCTGGAGTGTTCTGAGCAAATCTGAGAGCGTGATCGACCTTTGGTTCTGTTACGGGGTGAATCTGGCTCATCACGTCGAGTGCCACGACTCATTCGTTCGGACGAGCCGTCCCTCTGAGAGCGTTCACTCCTCACACTGCCTTCACCGCGCTCCGAGCGACTGCTGCTGGATCCACGGTTGTGGCAGCCGTCCCGTACATCTGCACAAAGGCCATGAAACCATGATCAGAGCCTGAAGTTTTGTGCTGAGATCACACAGGCGGAGAGACCACCTGACTTACCTCTGTCTTTTCTTCTGTCTCTGTCACGGTAGCGGTCGTAGTCTCTGTCCTTGTCTCTGGATCTGTCTTTGTCTCTGGTCTTGTCTTCTTTGGAGGATGCATAAACCCCATGTTCACGTCTGTCTTTTTCCCTCTGTTGATTTTTCAGCTTGAACTCCTCACTAACCCCTCCTGGGTTTGATGGCGTTTCTGAGCCAGTGACACGGTACTTCCTGTAGAGGAACAAAAAAAAAAACATTTATTCATTTGCTCGTGTCCTTAATATTTAAATGAATAGATCCATTTGAAATTAATTTTTGGTGTGTTTTAGCTTACCTCAAGTGCATCCAAGATGTCTGTGTCTTTGTTTCCGCAGTAGTTTCAATTTTGATATTTTTAGGTTAAACCGTTCTTGTCTGTCAGTCATATAATGCAGGTCTATGGTCACCACCTCAAAGAGCATGCACAGAGAAGTCCAAATTAAACATGATTTAATGACTCGTAAATGTAAGGACACATTGATGGCCTAAGACACGAAACGAGCAGTTTGTGTGAAAATATGAACAGTATTTATATCGTTTTTACCTCTTTTAACCACAGCTACGTCCAAGTGATCTGAGGGCATGGGAGCTTTGAGTTAAAAACAATATAAATACTGTTAGTTTTCTCACAAAAACCACTCGCTTCGTGTCTTAGACCATCAATAAGTACTTACATTTACGACGAGTCATTATGACATGTTTAATTTGGACTTCTCTGTGCATGCTCTGAGGTGGTGACCATAGACCTCCATTATATGACTGACAGACGAGAACGGTTTGACCTAAAAATATCAAAATTGAAACTACTGCGGAAACGAAGACAAATACATCTTGGATGCCCTTGAGGTAAGCTAAAATACGGCAAAAAATAATTTCAAAGTGAACTATCCCTTTAAGATAAGTATTAGGAATGTTCTAGATCCCAAAAAAAAGATTACAAAAATAATATCCAATAATATAATATTCAAAAGTATCTCGATCTAGGTCACAATCTCGATTCAAACACCTATGTGATCTTATTCCTAAATGACAATGACAGCATCACAAAGTCTTTTCACCCACACAGTATGATTATGTCTGGGTTACAAAAATAAAAAGCTGCTCCAAACCAGTTCAAACTCAATAAACATCTTTTATAAAAAAAAAACAGACTACAGACCGCTCATGTACAGCTCAGCCAGCTGTACATAAGCATATCTGCATTTCAATTAAAAAAGGATTGTAAGGTTTGTAAGATTGCTTTGTGAAATACTCTTATAGCAGAAATTTAGGAGTTCTAAAATGAGGAATGAAAAGGCCATTATTTTTAATAGGGATCCATGATATATCGGCCACCATATCGATATCAGCTGCTAAATGTTACATTTTAATCTTACTGTATCGGCGTGATAAGAAAATTTGTCCGATACATATTAAAGCCGATAAATAATGGATTATTGCGTTTGGCTGAGACACTTCAGATGTGCACTGTTCACCATGATGGTTTTGAATCACTTGAAATATGATTGAAATCACTTCAAAAAGGAAAATACGGTTAAGTGCATAATGTGGAACGTATGTCTGTCAAAGGCTATATAAAATTGTAATGTTGTGCTTAGGACATGTTTTTTAACGGTGAGTCTTTTTTTTGTAATCAGGCTCTCAAAAAATATATCAAAATTACAATATATCGGTTATTGGCTTTCAAATATAAAGAATGATCGGTATCGGACAAAACTTATACATCAGTGCATCCCTAATTTGTAATAGTTTCTCCTAAATTGGCAAGTCAGGAGCTACTTTTAGCCTTAAGATGTTTTGTGATTACAGACTCTGTCTATGTGGCACAAATCATTTTTGATTACATTTTATTTTAAGGTGTCTTTGGTAAGTATTACATTGATTGCTAAATGAAGTTCGGTACTACATGAACTTACTATAATGTTAGCATTAGGGTTTGGTTAAGGTTTAGTTGCATTTTATGCATAATTTACTATTATTATTATTATAGAAAGTAAGTAGATGTCACGTGTAACAAGGACACTGTAAAATAAAGTGTTACCTATTTTTCCTGAAGAACAACCCACCTTTCTTTTTTCCCATTCTTGCTCTCGCCATCCTCTTCAGTTTCATCATCAGACCCTGAATCACTTTTTCCCTCCTCCCAGTCCTTGTAGGACGACACCTTGGATTTCTTGGGTTGATCATCCAGCCCTTCCTTCCCCTCACGTTCCTTGCGTTTCTGGGCGGCCAGCAGATCCAGGCCCAGGAGTGAGGTGCGTGGAGCTGGTGCTCTGAACACATGTTGTTCTGTTGAAGCGATCTTCTTCTTCACTATCAGCCCCCCGACCTGCAGACTGGGGTCACTGCCTTCTATTCGATGCAGGGAGGAATCATCTTCCATCTCTTCCATCTCTGCTGAGGTGTCAATCGCAGCACTCAGCTGATGGATTTCTGGTGTATCTAAAAAGACATTGCCAAAAGTTACTCATAAGGGCCAACAATACACAGACTTTGTGTTAGAAGTCAAGTTGCAAGTACAGATGCTGATACAATATGTGATTAATATGAGTACATGGAACTAATAATAAGTAAAAACTGGAAAATGGACATGTTTAACTGTTAACTTGTTACATTTAAAAATAAAATCTTGTTACATATATATCTAGATAAAATGACCCTTAACAATACAACGGGTAGGTTTTGTCATTTACACCAGTTACTACAGCTATTATTGGTCAAATACAAACGTAGTTGTTAGCATTAGCCATGGCCACCACTGTGACAACAACAATAAACGATAGGAAGATTGTTTTAACCACCTATAATTTTAAAGGAGTTCGCAACATAATTAAGGATTCAATATATAATGTTTAATGTTTGATGTGGGTAAGATATCACCAATAAGTGTAGTAATAACAGTATTTTGGTTGCCACGGTAAGTTTGCTGAAAAAGATTAGAAAACGTTACTAATTGAATAGATCATATAACGTTATATAAGGTAATTTTGATAATAAAACCGGCGCTACCCTTGTATTATCGATATGTAACTTACGTTAATTAGAATGAAGCCGATTAAACTGCGGTCGTTGATGTAGCTATCGTTACATGATAAATATCTCAAATGTGTTAATGCAAAGCAGCACTGTGGCACTACTCATTTATCAGAAAAAAAGCGGGTATACCTTTGAAACGATAGGTTCCTCAAAACTGCTGTACACTGTATAATAAAAATTATGTACTGAATGATAAAATAAAATAAAACATTCAGTGAAATAACATAGCGGTAAACGTCAACAATGTGTGCAGTAGGCCGCCATTACTATCCCAGCATCCATTCACAGGGAAGTGACGTCTGTGGTTTTCGTGAAATGATTCGTGAACGATTTGAATTTTTTGAACCGGTGTCGTTTTAAACGACTCAACTTGTCAAACTTGATGGCAACGAAAGAACCTGTCGATAACAGCATGATTTAAACAACCAAAACAATAGAAAAATTGAGCGACTGGAAAAAAATCTGAGTGATTGCCTGCGAATTAGGGAATTTTAACCGATTATTTGAAACAATCCGTCCAAAAGAACCGACTCCCTCAATGAATCAGACTCACCAGCACTTTTTTACCAAGCGATTTCTTCTTTAGAATAACAATTTCCAGCGTTATTATTAGTAGTAACGTTAGTAGTTTTGAAATGTGTGAAGGCACAGAACCATCCTTATATTTGTTATGTCTATGGTGCAGATATATACAAATTGTTCAGTTACTGGCAAATGGGTCTCTCAGTGTTCATTTGTAATTACAAATTGTATGGTCAAATTGACCCCCAGTCAAATGACAAAATTAGAGTAATTTGTTACTCTTTTCTTTTTTTTCAACCAACTCAAATCCAGTAAAATAGTTCATTTATGTTTCCGAGGACTTGGACCCCTCCGATGAACACTAAATTTTTATATTTTTCTTTAATGAATGAGTTTTATGTGAAAATGATCTGATGTTCTGTCAAACTGATATAGTTTTTAATGCTTAAATAATACAAAATACATCATATATCCTGAGTAACTAAGTAATTGTTAACCACGATTTTACATTATTGTTGTTATTAACCAACTTTGTTTGTGGAAGATACCCGCCTCGTCCCTCCCCATTTTACATTTAAAATTTAAATGCATGTTCCTGATTTAGTCTGAAATACAATATTGACAATAATTACATCGTACACATTTGAATTTTTAACAATTTATTGGAACGTAGTGGAATTTTTTTATAACACACTGAAACGGTACGTCAATTCACTGACATACCCCAAATATTCCTAATCAGACGGATTATATATAACATTAATCTCAGCAAAACTAAAGGCCTTGAGCTGTGATTCTTCTGCTGTTGAACTAAAAGAGCAGATAGTGACAGAGATTAACACATTTGTACTCAATTCAGGACTAAGTTGTGTAATTTTTATCTCTAGCATTAAATCATGACATTATGTGATCCAATAAAAACGTGAGAATGTCATTGACATCTATGCATATAAAATGCACACAAATATGAACATCTGAACATCAATTGTTAGACAAAGCTGAATACATTGACTCAGCCTGACAGGAAAATAAGTAATTTGCACAGATCTTGAGGCAGGAATGATTTAAAAACATAAAAATAAAAAGGCCAAATATGACACTCAAGAAAACATGGACAATTGGCCTAGACAGAATGACTCATTCATGTTTCATTAAAAGCAATATTGTTTGAGAAGAACATACAATGGAATATTTAATAACAGAAGTACACAACAGAAGCAAACACAAGTAGACATTTTGGTTTACTTCTAGTTTTGAAGTTGAACGGTAAAGGCAGTAGAAGAGTAAGCACTTGCATATAATGATTTTACATGACCTGACCTTTCAAATAAAGACAGTCAAGCTAGAAAATACATGCAAGCAATGCTAAGAACGATTCGTTAGAGAACCATATATAAGAACAATGACTATATGAACAGGTACTCTACAAGTTGTACAACAGTTCAAACTCTTTCACCAACATTGAAACAAATGGTAAAAAAAAAAAAAAAAAAAAAAAAAAAAAAAACCTCTCTCAAATGCATAATTACAAATGGACTGAGTAATGTCAATTTCAAATTTGCAGATACAGGTACCACACTAGAAATCTTCATTGTAAGAAAAAAAGCATACATTCCGGTAAAGCACTGTATGACTAACATACATTTCTTACATTTCAGCATTTGCACATTGTCTGATGTTGAATGACAACATTCAATCAAAATCCTATGACAATATGAAACAATGACAATATTTTCTAGTTTTCCTTAAAGGGATAGTTCACCCAAAAATGAAAGTTCACCTTCCACACATCCCAGAAATATTTATCCCCATAAAATACAAACATTCTTCAAAAATATCTTCTTTTGTGTTTTTGCAGAAGAAATAAAGTCATAGCGGTTTGGATCATCATGAGGGTGAGTGAATGATCATTTTTTTCCCGAACCATCCCTTTAAACCATGTTGTATTTAAAATAGAAATTTCATTTTAGTACCGTGACTCCATGCTCTTCTCTTGGAGATGCAACTTTCAACTCCACTTGAATCATTTGGTCAAAATCTTCAGGTAATACATTGACAAACACCAACTAGCAGCTATGTGAAAGCTGTGGACATGTGATTTGTCAAAATGCTCCCCAAAATAGGATTCATCAGCAAAAGCTGGACCATACTGGACCTTCCCAACTACTCTCTAGATTAATTTAAAGTACATTTAAAGAGACAATGATAAGAGATATAATGCAGCAGATAAAGTCCTGCAGACAGAATTGTGGATTCTGAACGCTGGTAGAGAAACCCAGTCAAAAAGAGGCAATGGGCTATAGACCATTTCCAGTCAGATGAATAGAAACTAAAGAAGAAAGGATGAGCAGGAGTTATCTTATAAGATCACTCCCTTAAACAAGTCAAGGCCTCCAGACAAGAGAAATACAGCGGCGACAAAGTTCAGGACGATTTGTGTTCCAGCATGTAGTAACGGTACATGATGCCCACAAGCACAGCAGCAACGGCAGGAATTACCCAGCTGGTCAATGACCTGAGCAAAAGACAAAAAGACGTTTAAAGAAAAAAAAAAACACACACGTGCAATGTAGTTCATGCAGAACTGAATCGGACTTCTTACCCTGACTCCTTGGAAGTTGTGATGTAGACATCCTAGAACAGAAAAGTGATAAAGCGAGGAAACATTAACAAACCGCAACAGACGTGTTTGATATGTTTTTGCATTGGTCACTAGGCCTGTCACGATAACAAATTTTGCTGAACGATAAATTATCCAAGAAATTATTGCAAGAAAAAAATTTTTTTCCTAAAGACTATTTATCACTGAAAATGGAAAACATTTTAAATATCCACAATAAATGAACAAAAAAAACAAAAATAAATACATCAAAATGAATAAATCTTTTTTCGATTCATTTCGTTCATTTTGTTCGTTGAATGAACGAAATGACTCGAAAAATATTTTTTCATTTTGATGAATGAGTTCAAACAGGAGAGTCACGAACGCGCATCACAGAACAGAGCAAGGCGAGCATTTGTGCTTATAAAACTTAAACTTTTTTATTTATTCATTAAATGATCGATCGTTTCGCTAGATAAGACCCTTATTCATCGCCTGGTGTTGTTTAAAGCCCTTAAAGGAGTAGTTCACTTTTGAGAAAACTTTTGCTGATAATTTACTCACCCCCATGTCATCCAAGATGTCCATGTCTTTCTTTCTTCAGTCGAAAAGAAATTAAGGTTTTTGATGAAAACATTCCAGGATTTTTCTCCATATAATGGACTTCAATGGGAACCAAACGGTTCAAGGTCCAAAAGAAACTTTCAGTAGGCCTACAAACTGCAAACTGTTCAAAGGGCTTTAAACGATTTCAGACGATGAATAAGGGTCTTATCAAGCGAAACGCTAGCTCATTTAAAAAAAAATATTAATAACAAAGTTTAAGTTTTATAAGCTCAAATGGTCGCCTTGCTCTGCGATGCACGTTCGTGACTCTCCTGTTCGAACACATTCATCAAAATGAACAAATCTTTTTACAAGTCAATTCGTTCGTTGAATGAACCAAATGACTCGGAAAAAGATTTGTTCATTTTGATGAACGAGTTCGAACCGAGAGTTGTCACACTAGTCTCTTTGGTAGAGAGAGAGAGAGAGAGAGAAGAGGAAAACAAACAAGCATGCAAATGGAAATTACGCATCAAGCTCAATTTTTTTTTGTGTGTATCGATTTCTTGACTATCGCGACAGGCCTATCGGTCACAATGGTTCACAAAGAGTTCTTAGAATTGTTTTTTACCTTTTTTGATTCTTTCTTTCGATCATCCTAAAACAGGAAAGTAAGCATTATAAAAGTTCATGAATTTGCAATATTTTAATGATTAATTGTATTACTATACTCATTTTGCAGATGTGTTTTGTCCATAGAAATGCATTATAAAAATCAAGCACTACCATATGGAGTTCCCCGATGTAATATTGCTGGAGCATCTCTCTGGCATCAGTGGAATGACCCACATCCTCGAAGCTTTCTGTCGCATCTGAACCTGCTTGCTCCAGCAGAACCTCTTCACCTCCTGGATGCTATGAAAGAAAAGTTTGTATCCTCTGAACACAACCACTCTTCATTGATCAACTATCCTGCACATCCCATAAATACAGACACATGTAACCTCTGATCTCATTTTACAATATCTGATTTTGATGTTACACAATGGTGAGAACGTGAACCATCCAAGCAAGTGACGTCAAATTTCTTCTGTAAAAAATTTATAATAATTACATGCATGTTAACTGCAAGGTTAAAAACCAGGAACCAACCAAATTTAGTTACTGAAATCAAAATAGACAATTATTGTTTTTCAATGGAATATTGCCGTATTTATTATAAATCATTCATCCACACACACTTTTTTTAAATTGTGCTTCATAATCTTTAATCAAAGTAACTTTCCCTCCCTCTTCTCTGGTGACGTGTTCACTCACGTGACTGCGTGGCTACCTGTCACTCACATGAGTTTGACCAATAGCAAACCACAACCATCCAAATTAATTTCCCATGAACAAAATCAAGTCCCGCCCTACATTTTTTCATGTTCGAGTAGCCCTTTTACTCAGATATCCATCACAATAGGGAAAAAACACTATCACAACTTCTATTTTATGCCGCCTTAAAAAAGGAACTGAAATATTTAACAGAAGTTTCTGGTAATGGTTCTGCCACAACACCGAAATAAAATACTTTAGGTGGTTCAAGGGGGCGGAGTTGGATCCAGATCTTAGGTGTGGAAATGGGTAGGATTAGGGGTGGGGTTAGGGATCAGGGGGTGGAGATGGGTAGGCTTAGGTAAGGTGGGAAATCCAGGCTCCCCCTGGATTTCATGTTCTGCAGTGAGGACCATCTCAATCAAACACTTCAGATTCAATTGCAGCAGTTACTAAAAAATTCGATAACGCAGAACTCAATTCAATAAGAAAATTTTAATTGACAAGACTTAAAAATACACCCAAATAATAAACTTTCTCTTTGGCGTTTTCTTGCTTCCCTATTGTGGCAGTTCCTCAAGCAAGAAAACAAAAAGTAGGACGGGACTTGATTGTGTCCATGGGGAATTGATTGGATGGTTGTGGTTTGCTATTGGTCGATCTCATGTGAGCGACAGGTTGTCGTAAACATAGTCAGTGAACTTACTATACTGAATGGTTGTTCATATTACAACATTACATAAAGTTTTATTGTAATTAGAAGTATTTTATAATCGATGCATTATATAACATCACATTTTTTTGTTTAGTATTATTGAACAAATGGAGTAACCCTATGGACTGCTTTTATGCTGACTCTAAAAATTGTGTGAACACACCTTTCTGATATTGAATCTGATCGGCTGTAAACTGATTAGATATAAATGACAAGAACAGTAAATGCAATATGAATTCTTCTTTCTTTTAAATATTACTTTTCATGTTCAAGAAATGACAGTGGCTGTAGCATTTCTTTCATAAAGAGGTGACCATTTTGACAGGTGACAATTTTAAACAAGGATTTGATCTTCTGTACGTGTAACACCACCAGGCCATTGACGCCCTATAGACGTATATGCATAAGATGATTGTTTATATTGTTGTTCTATAAAACCATGATTACTTGCTTTTTCGATAATGTGTTTGTATTTTAAGCTTGGGTCTATTTTTATTTCCCCAAAAAATATCAGATTAATCGTCAAAATTATCGATTGATTACCAAAATAATCGTTATAGACCCTAATTCACACGATTTTATTACCGACTTGCTCGTTTTCACAAGCTTCTTGTAAGCAACACAGTAGTGGTGTGTCATACTAAAATGAAAAGAAATGTAGGTTGTATAAAACTCCAAAACGTGACAAAGGATTTGAAGGAAAATAAATGTGTCAGAGGTGAACCGCACACGCTGGAATCGTTCATTTCACTGTGACAGTTCAACGTGACTGGGCAAGCCGGGTAGCTATGTGGCTAATACCCAATCATTCAAAGCCTTCTTTGAATTTTGCTAAAAAAATAAAATAAAATAAATGATAAACGGTGTTGGCTAGTTTATTCCTTCAGAGTGTTGTTTACCGCACTGAGTCTAACGTTAGTATGCTAACACACTGACCGGGCCAACACAAACTTTGATGTTATCTTGACACTTGGCAGCAGCTTATGTTTTGAGTCTAGTCTGACATTCCAGCGTAAATTAGTAAGAGTAGCTCGTGTAAAACATATATATGTGATAGAGAAAAGTCAAGTAAAATCATGCAGGGTTTAGTGGTGTGTGGTTGCACAGTGTGAGCTGTGGTCTGGAGGACATGATGAAACTCCAACCGTCTTACCTCCTCCATGAAACTTGTGATATCGTAAACTTTATCGTGGATGATCAGCCATGTGTCTTTGATCATGTTATGGGCTTGAATCTCTTCGACTGTGTAGTATTTCACACCGCTCTCCTCCGATGTGCCTGTATTTTCTTCCTTTATGATCTGATTCTCTCTATTCACTGAGCTCTCAGTTTCTTCCCCCATCTTCACTCAGTTTCTCTGGCGCTTCTCTGCTGGGGTTCAGTGGAAACCAGTGCGCTGGTTTTACCTGTAATCTTTTTGCTTGAAGCTTGTTTTACTATTATTATTATTATTATTATTATTATTATTACACGCAACCTATCCTAATTCTAGTCCAACCGGCACACCATTTCACCACCAGTCACGAGAAGAGTCGACTGAATCCATTCGCTTCAACTGAACCAACCAATCAGCGCTCAGTTCACTCGGTACACGGCCAGTGACGAATCCAATAGCAGCCTATCAGAATCATGAGCAGAGCATCGCGAGACCGTGAAACGACTGGAAACGTCAAACCACATGCGTCAAACGCATGTTTTACGCACAATGGCCTTACGTTACACAACCCCAAAAGTCTTTAATACTGAAAAGTCCTAAACACATTTTTGGTTGTATGTATATTTTGTGACTGGGTTGTGTTTATCATCAAATTTCTATTTAGAAGTGTAAAAAAACACAAACATCTGCCTGTCTAAAAACAAACACAAAAAGGGTTAATTAAAATCAAAGTTGTTTACGTACAGTGCATTTTTAAAGATGATAAATAAAAACGTAAACTTTAATACACAAACCACCCGCCAGAAAAAAAAAACCTGACTTAAAGGGTTTATGACGTAACAGGTGTTAAAATCAAAGACAGATTGAAACATATTCGTCTGTGGTGTGGTTACTGATGCAAAGTCACTTATATCTTTTTGTTGATGCATATCTTCACAAGAATGAATAATCATCATGGACTTTGAATGGGTGAATGGATTTAATAGGCTATTTAAAGGGATAGTTCCCCCAAAAATAAAAATAATCATAATTTACCCGCCATCATGTTGTTCCAAACCTGTATAAGTTTCTTTCTTCAGTTGAACAGAAAAGAAAATATTTTAAAGAATGTTGGTAACCAACCAGTTGCTGGTCCCCATTGATAGTATTTTTTTCTTACTATGGAAGTCAATGGGTGCTGAGTGGTTAGGTTACCAACATTCAAGATTTTCATGTTTGGGTGAACTATCCCTTTAAGAAATATGTCAAAAAGTCAAGTGTTGGGAAATACATGACCCATTTTTGTACTTTAGTTTGTAATGTTAACGTTAAGGAGTAAAAAGTTATTTTTGACTTGTAAATGTATATGTCTCAATTAGCACATTCAAGTACCGTAATTTAAAAATACCCCAAAACAAAGTAATAAAGTAGCCTAAAATTAATTATCACCCTTGTGTGTTTTAAATTTTTGTGGTGGTGTGTTTTATTATTTAAATTAAGGTTTCAGGTTTGCCATCTCAAAATGAATATAACCGCTGCTATTGTTTTTTTACTTGTAGCCTTTTTTTACTTGAAACCAAAACTTTGCTACGATTTTTGCAGAGTGCTTGAGCGCAACCTCACTCATTTGCATATCTAATTAGCTAGTGATAAGTGCCATGTGTCCTCTAACTCTACTGATATCTGTTTAGGTGAAACAGATGAAACATAATTGGTCTCATCTGTGAAATGGCTCATTAAGAAAGCCCATATGTAGGCCAATGCTAAATTTGTGCACATTCATATTTTCACAAATTGGAATCGACAGCATCTGTGCAGTTGAGCGTTAAACCCATAGACAGTAACAGAAATGGACACAGCGACCCCGTTTCAACCATAAAACTACCAGGTGAGAAAACTCTACTAAAATAGTTTCCCAAAAGGTTATTTTCTAAGATTAATATCTTGAGAGACTGTCGTCTTTATGAAGAATTTTATATTTATTTAGTTTGACACTTTTAGTTCAAGTGTAGTTTGATTCAGCCCTCAAAATGCTACTGCTAAAAACAGTTGAGTCACAATTAAGATACTGGCTTAATTTGAAATTCTATCTTTGCCATAGAAATAGGTAAAATACTATAAAAAGGGAAAATAATATAAATCCTATGGTAAACCTGTTGGTTAATGGGCTAGTTTCTTTATGTTAGCCTTCATTGAAAACTAGTTGTTTGTCATGCAACTTTTAGTTTCTCAAATTTCAATTCATAAAGTTTGTTCCCAGAGTTGACTTCTTTCATTAGTTATTTTAAGCATGCATAGGGTTTTATTACATCTTAAAATGTTTATTGCATTTGCATTATTTTAGTGTAGTGTATCATTTTGTGTTAGTGTTACAAATCAGCTTATGGAAAAGTTGTTTGTAATTGTGTTTTCTTTACCACCTGTTATTTTTGGCATTATGTTTTAAAGGTTCATTTTTATTTTATCTTTATCACCAGTTCCACTTATTCATGCAGGAGCAAAATGCCAAGATGTGCAACTCAGACACACGACGTCCCAGGTTGAGCCTGCTTTGGCTTGGTTTGGAACTCATTTCATTGGCGGCGCAGAAACCGTAAGTAGAAAATGTGTAATTTTGTTTCCTTGACTGTTGTATAAAGTGATCTCAGTCACAGTGGTCTACACTGAGATCATGCAATTTATGCAAGTGAAAAATTCCAATGACAATTTATTTTGTGGGCTAAGGCAAGCTATTGTATGCTTTCTAAATTGATGTTTGTTTGTACTTAGTTGACTCTTTTGAGGGATGGACTTCTCTCTGACACTGGCACAAAGCTTGAGCTGCTCTTCTTCTGGATGAAAGACATCCAGGTCATTATTGAAGCTAAAGTGCTTTAAATGAGCCCCAGATTGGACCACAAGCCTTCCCTGGACCAACCTGAGCTATCTACACTGGTTACCATCATGGCTAGGACATCACGGCTTCTGTTATGACGGTTTTGACAAGGACACTATTTTACTCTCTCTTTCACTAGGCTAATGCAAGCGTTTAATGCAGTGTATTGGGTGGTAAAATGTGTCCCTCACTTGCTTACTCTTGGACTCCTTTTTTATTTTATGATCTTGACTTAATTGATTTGAATAGGGTGGTGTTCGGTTTCTCTCCAGTGTGAATTTTCTTGTGTGTTTCCAGATCTCTCTCTATCAGAGATGCAGAAACAATGACTCTTATCATAATGTGAACACTTGTTGGGTTTGACTTCAATATGGATTTGATTGCTATCCCACTCTGATTGCAAGAGTGAAGTTTTGGGTTGCCACAGTGGGGTAATATCTGTTTTAAGTGAACTTTTAGTTTTTACATTCACATCACTCATGTGTCACTATTGCTTTTAATTGTATTTTAACTTGATGTAACCTGGTTCCCGTAATGTAGCTCATTTAACAAACAAATTAATACAAAGAAAGCTTTTTTCTTTGTATTAATTTGAAAGATCTGACAATTAAGGCAACCAGGTTACTTGACATTTAAGTTAAACCAACAAATCATTTTAATATTTGCACCTGGTCAGGCCTTTCCCTCCAACCACCTTTTGTCACTTTCACGGTCCAGCACATCCCAGATCTGTTTGTAACACTAAAGTCACTTCACAGAATAAAGATTATAAATGGCAATTTGAAATTTCACTTTTTTTTTTTTATATTTTTAAATCCCGTACCTGTTACACTGTGCTTTTAATTGTTTTAACCAGACTGTTCATTGTGTGTATATAATTGTTTCCACACTGAGGACATGTGAAAGGCCAATCTACAGTGTTTTGGTCATGAACTCAAAGTTTACCCTTGTTTACCCTTATTTCCCATGTTCCCTGATGCTTTGAATGATTCATGAGTGTTTCAAGGAGAGAGCATGTCTTAATCCTTCTGTGTACTTTGACTTGGATTTTTGTAATGGCTTTTAGATTACAACAAGTGATTTGTTGGTTTAAGTTGATGTAACCTGGTTTCCTTAATTGAGTTGATTTAACAAGTTAATACAAAGAAAGCTTGTGCTTTCTTTGTATTAATTTAAGGACCTGATAATTAAGGCAACCAGGTTACTTAACATTTTAAGATAAACCAACAAATCCTTTTTAACTTTGCACATGTTCAGTCCTTTCCTTAATCCCTTTTCACAGTCCAGTGTGTCACTTCACAGAATAAAAGAGAAAACACAAATGGTTTCAAGCTGTTTTTATTATAGCTGCTTTAAATTCTGCCCCTTTTTTCTCCACCCCTCATGTTGCACAACTATACTATAAATTAGTTCCAGCCTTTTCTAAAAGCAGTACACTTTATTAAAGCTATGAAATGGGGACTGCAATTGATGCCATATAGAACCATTTTGCGTTTCCAAAAAGAAGCTTTTAGTGACTGAATATATATATTTTTTTGTATTAATTTAAACATTTAGCCAGTAAAGGATTTGTTAAATATTCTTAGTGGAACTATAAACTGCAATAAAAAAAACCTTTTAAAAGGGTATAACTTTTTGTGAGGAACTGGCTGTCACGTTGAGTATTTGCTTAAAATCTAGTAAAACCCCAATAAACTAAAGAACTTTGTAGTGGCCTTGGCTGACCCTAAGTACAGTAAGTGAAGAGATTTTATACATTCACTTAAATTAAATATGTATTTGGGACCTTGAACAAAGTGTAATTCATTCTGAGAAAAAAAATTACACCAACATGAGACCCAGACAAACACAATACATAATTTGACATCCACCTCTTCCAGTGTATCACTTTTTTTCTAATTCATGTGGATGAAATCTAATTCATCTAATCTAGAGATGCACATTAAACATCACATTTGTTCTAATTGGCTGTGGTTAGGAAGTCATACAGTTTTTTTAATGGCATTTCATTGAATCTGGTTATTACATGGGGAGTCCTAAAATGTTATCCATTCAATGAGGTTGGTTTGTACAATTGGAGACCTTGTCTAAAAATCTAGTCTTGAAAGAAATAAAATTGGCCACAAGGTGGCAATAAGTACATTTAAGCATCTTTACACTCTTCGTCTGTCATGGGAACACACAAACAGACACCGCCAGTCTGTTCAGACAAGTGTGTTTAAGATAGATCTATACCTACAGTAAATCTTGATTAAATGGTAACATCACTTGAACTAAACAAGTTTGTCAAACCTGATGATGATGTCCAAACAGGTCACATGATCAATGTCACGTTCACTAATTGCAGTGTTTCTCAACCTTTTTAACTCCAAGGCAAACTTCTTATTTGTTACATTAAACACAATTTATGGCAACACAACCGTTTGTTCTTCGTGCATGTCTTTCTCTGGCAGAAGGACAGTGGGCAAAACCTAAAAACTAATGGTACGTACACAATCTGCATAATGGCACAAGCAGACAAAAACAATTGAGTTGGAGACAAGCAGACAATAGAGTATCAGAACAGAAGAAAGGTGGTCCTGCCTGGTAATCAATGACCCTGTTTATTTCCGTCCGAGAATTATTATTTTTTTCTGATTGGGATCTCTGATTAGCTAAACAGCTGGTAATGTTTACACAGGAAATTGGATGGTGATCTTCACTTTCTGTTCCCTCTAGTGCCATATGGAGATGCATTATGATAATTCAAGAGATGAATCACAAGTCAATGCCTCTATGGATTTTATCAAAATGCATGAAACCCCATTCTGTTATGATGCGGTTTCATGTTCATTAGAGTGCTATCTCATAAAAAACCTGTGAATCTTTAGCTGAATTAGACAATAAGTCATTGTACACCCTATGGCCAGGTCTTTAACGCTTTATCCTCTCCTTTTCTACATCATCTGTACCTTGTGGTCAATGGCAACAGAGTGTGCACAGATAAGATGTGAGATGTTTAAAGGTTTTATTGAACTCCGTACAAACTGGGAAATCTCATCTGGAAATGTGGCCTGACTCGATATGTCACCACAGCAACAGATCGTCGTCTCCACAGCCTGACGGGTCAGAGAACATCCTAGGAACACAGGCCTGATACAAACTACCCAAGGTCAAAGCTCACTGCAGAGGCGTGACAGCGTTGATAATTAAATCCACCCACGGTCTTTAATACACCAGAGCATCTTTTGTAGCAGCGAGCTGGATAGTGCTGTTAAACGCATCTTGCTTTTCTAGGCTCTCAAGGTTTTGTTCGTTCAGTCGTGATGGAATAGTGCTGTTGAATAAGATCGACTTCAGAAGATCAATGATGCATGGAGGTACAATAATAAAAAAAAACTTGTGAAATTCTCAACGAGTTATAGAAGATGCCACAAAAGTTAGAACAAAGAAAATTACAGAAGCAGTTTCAACAAACGAATCACGGTTTACGTATTAGAATAATTGATTACAGAGAGTTTTATTTAATTATTTTGTTACTCACAAATTGCAATTTCTACCCAATAAAATATTTTAGAGCTTGACAACAACTGTCAATAAAGTGTGTATTTTTTTATTTTATTTTTTTAGAAATGTAAGACTTCTTAAATATTTGACAAATTTCCATTACTTTTCCAAGTCTAGAAATCACACTTTTAAAATTACTAATATATTCAGGTTTTTAAATGACAGGAGTATTAAAGGGATAGTTCACTTTGAAATACATTTTTGAGATGTTTTAGCTTACCTCAAGGGCATCCAAGATGTTGGTGTCTTTGTTTCCGCAGTCGTTAAAATTTTGATATTTTTAGGTCAAACTGTTCTTGTCTGTTTAGTCATATAATGGAGGTCTATGGTCACCACCTCAAAGAGCATGCACAGAAACTTTTTTCACACATTTTTCAGTGTATGTCTGTGTGAGGTAAAAGGACATGAGCTGTTGAGGCTCCGCCCTCTGTGCCGGGAGCAGCATCAGTTTATTTGAATTTTAAGGGACAGACACAAATGTGGTCCGTTTTTGTTACCCTCAAAAAGTGACAATTTTAACATGCTTTAAAAATATATATGTGGGGTATTTTGAGTGAAACCTTCACATACACACTCTGGGGACATCAGAGACTTATTTTACATCTTAAGGGCATTTTTACCACCCCTTTAAAACTTTTGTGTGATATTACATTCACGCCACTAGGTGTCAGCATGACCGCTGTATAGTTCTGTAAAACAAACAAATATGGCCAGGTTTAATAGAGATGTATAGTAATGAGAATGTAAAAAGAGGCTATGAATTGCTATCATTACAATCAGTATAATTAGAATCGTGCGTTAGCAGGTCCAGCTGGCACAGATGAAGCTATCAGATGTCACTACACATGGCTAAATCTCAAATAATCCTGAATTATGATGAGCTCTCACGGCCATTATGTGCTATGAAGTGTTATTTGTAATTTCAATGGCTATCTACATTTTTGCAAAGCTCCAAAAACGTGATTTAGGAATACAATTTACTGCTGTTTACAGCTGAAATGAACACTAGTGGCCGTAAAACAATTTACCGGTAATCCTTTTCACACAAATTATGATTCCTGGGGTAGAGTATCAATTAATAACCCTTATTTCCATGCAGTTACTTACATTAAACAAAATTATAAATGCAATATTTTGTTTCCCCCCCTATTTTTCATGAGCTGAACTTTCTATTGTAAGCCCGACTCAATCAATCCAATGGAGGCATTCGATCAGCGGATAAAGGTCTCTCCGCGTGGTAAAGTAATTTGATTAAATGAAATACGTTTTTTCATGTATTAACTCGTTATTTCATCTGACACTATCAATGAAAAGGTTTTAAAGATATCTCGGCATCATTAAATATGAGTGAATGTTTGACTATTCTTTAACTCTTTACTGAAAATAATGTCTTGGTCAGTTAGAATAAAATCAAATGTTTACAATTTATTAATATCAGGTAAATGTATCATGGCAATTTCATAATCAGTTCAAAGATAATAGATATAAAACATCAAATGCTCTGGAATAAAGAGAAAAGATGCGAGCCTCGACATTATGAAATACATGATGCAATACGCTTCACATCACAGGCTAGTCTGGGTTACAGAATCGCCCTGAGCCTCTTGTTGCATTTCATTAAATAGGCGGAAACCTCTTTAACATGGAAACATCTGCTAACAATGCAAATTTGCATTCAGAGGTTACAACTTTTGCGAGCAGGATGCCATTTGCCTTGAAGATCCACCCTCATTTGTGTGCAAGTTATCTCTAAACTCTTAAAAACTTTATTACCTTTTGTTTTACTTCTTTGGGAATGAGACCTTTGTATCAGTCACACTGAGACATTTCAAATGACACCAAACATGGGTAATACTGTATGATAATTATTGACATTAAAACATACAGATTTATGGGCGGTGTGAACTTTACAAGAGAGAGTTCAAATATTAATTTCCTTCATTTTCTCAGAGAGTAGCCCTTTCTTCCAGTTTGTCCAGTCTTACACTATGTACACACAAAAGGCCTATTTCTCTCAAATATTTACAAATCTGTCTAAATAGGTGTTAGTGAGCACTTCTCCTTTGCCGAGATAATCCATCCACCTCACAGGTGTGGTATATCAAGATGCTGATTAGGCACACAGCACAATGCCACAGCTCTCGCAAGTTTTAAGGAGTGTGTAATTGAACTATGGCTAAGCCACGCCCCCTCCACTCACTCGGACAAACAGTCAACATTCGGGGACTGGCGCTATGGCAGCTCATTTCACAAGAGGCAATTGGTGATTTTTGGAGACAGAAAGATTATATATCATCTCGAAGTCACCTAAAGGGCCTTAGCTATGCATTGGAGGGTTATATAAAAAATTTTATTGTTGAGAAGGTCAATGAAAAGCTTCAGCTCGAGGCAAAAATGTACAGGTCACAGTGTAAAAGTGATAAACCGCATCACCGTTTGGTGCTACAGTATTACTACAGAATCATTCCGCACAACATTGTTAACATTTGTTATCTCGGTTATTTACAGATACGTTAATGAAGCTAAATGACATGACGTACAACGCAGCTAGAAGCTAACGTTAAGGTTTTCTAATGTTAGGCTAACGTTAGCCTTAACGTTACATTAGATTTTAAAGGTAACGTTCAAATACGTTGTTGACTTAACTTAGAACAGACGTAGACATCCTTGCTTAATTTATCCACGTTTAGTTGGTGTTGTCTACCGCATAACTTAATCCAGAGCAGACATTTATC